AAAAAATAATATCTACAAACTATTAAACTTAAGCATTTCCTTTATGCTGTGTTTAGAGCATCCACATCAGTCTCGACAAATTTTGAGCCAAATTATAACTCAAAATTCACTTTTGTATTTTACTTAGCTTCTTTTTTATGTACACATTCCATCAAATTCTCTATTCTAAAATTCTATTTTATTAAAATATTATTTTTTATTCTTTTATCTTTTTCAATTTAAATATATGATGATTAGTCCCAAAAAAGCAGCAAACAACAAGCAAACAGCAGCAACACAATCACACAGGGAGGTCGATTAGCCGGACGACCGAGCGGTCGACCAGTCAAGCCAATTTTGTACATTTTCTTTCTTTGTTACAGGGCGCTCACAGGACATCCGAGAGGACATCCAGGTGGACGACCAGCCATGGCTTTTTGGCCCAGCTTTGCTCTAGAAAATATAATAAAAAATAGGTTACCGTATGAACAATGCCTTGTTGAGGCACTGTAGCAAAGTCAAAATGAATGAAGAGAGTAGAGAGTCTGATGGAACTGATATTCACAGCTTTTGCACTCTACAATAGGGGTGTTTGGTGGGACTTTTTTTAACCAACTTATGGCTTCTGGCTTTTAAAAAGTTATTTTGGACTGTTTGGTTAAACTTATTTCAAATAACTTCTGATTCTAACAACTTATTTTAAGTCAAAAAAACTGATTCTGAGAAGCTGCTCATACCTTGCTTCTGATTATCAGCTTCTGCTGTAGACATGTTAATTCACGGTTATACTCTTAGATTTTTTTATTTTTTATTTTTTTAAAAATAGAAAAAGACCAAAATGGATTATAAAATATTATTATTATTATTTATGAGAAATGTAGATAAATAGTGAATAATAAAAAATAAAAGTTAATTGAAAAAGCTACTTCACAACTTATTTAACAAACATTACTCAGCAACTTAAATCTATAATCCAACAGTTATACCAAACAGATTAACAATTTCTGAACCTATAATCTATTAAGTATTAATCTATAATCTGTTTTAATAGCTATACCAAACAGGACCAGTAGCTTCAAAGCCATTGTAGAGAGGCTGATGCGGATGCTCTTAGTTGGAGATTTTAGAAAGAATTAGAAAGAAAAAGAGAAAAGGTGTGTGAAATGTAAATATATATTATTTATATTTTACCTACTTTTTCTTTTTTCTTTTCATTTTCCCTTTCTAAATTCCTTATAAACTACTAAACTTTTAGTAGTCAAGATTTGTGTATCTTATTAGGAGATTTCAAATTCAATTTCTGGTCTTCAATGTATTAAAAAAAAAAAAAATCCAAATCGTGATCAATTTATAAACCTTTTTTTTTGGGGGGCTCTAATGACGAGAAAACGCTCTAATGTAGTTTCTCAAACCTTCCTGGAATACCTTTAGACCATGTTTGATTTATGGATTAAGGAGCAAATTGAAATAAATAATTTTGAAATAAAAATAGTCCCACATTTGGTTCAATTTTTTTTCTGTAAACCACTGGAATACCTTTAGACCGCATTTGATTTACGGATTAGGAAGGGAATTGAAATAACTAATTTTGAAATAAAAATAGTCCCACATTTGGTTCAATTTTTTTCTGACTTTGAATAACTAATTCAGTGGAAACTTTTTATCCCACATATGTGGGATTATTTTGTAGCAAATCAAAGTTTCATGACAAATTAATAAACACGATAAAGCAAATAGAATAGAATTATGTGTCATTAAAACACATTCCACCCATGCCAGAGAATACATACACAGAGGAAAAGACAAATACTAATAATTTACATGGTTCAGCTTAAATTGAAAAATGCTTGGAAGCACTAAAAGGGGATCACTAAAGGGAGTACTAATGATGTGGCAGTGGACCCCGTCCACTTTCTATGCCTTGTTTTTATTTTTTTATTAACTAAATTAATAACTGCATAAGGCCTCGTTTGAAAACAGGTTATTTTAGTAACTTTTTGACTATTTGACTAAAATATGAGGTAAAAAAAACTAGAATGTTTGGGATAACTTTTTGACTTTTTACGAAAAGATGTGCAAAAAGTAAAGAGAAAAATGAATCTTTGACTTTTTAGTATATATTATAGGCTTTTTGATTTTTTTTTAATAACTTTTTGACTTTTAAACTAAATCAACTACTTGCCAAACGAGGCCTAAGTCAGATATGAGTTGATTAATTCCAACATTATGTAAACGGAAAAAAAAAAATTAAGGAAGAACATACACCAATTGATAGTGAAACCATGGAAATCCACTATATCCATAAAGAAGATTATGACCCCAATGATATGTCTCTCCTTTGGCACAAACGACACTTTGCTGCAATTGCTTTGTAGGACATGACCACATTGATTCCCTTGATATGTAATATTCTTGTTTTCACTATCAAAATTTTAAGCTTAATTTGGAGTTTCCTTAAAGAATGTACAAGAATAATGAAGTGGGAGAGGATGGAAAGTGGTGTTCCGGCTAAACTATTTATGGAAGACAAAAGATTATTAAAAACAGCAATATTACAAATTTAGAAAATTGGGGTTGACTGCAGGGTATTGTTGGACTTGTGAGGGTCTACCACAGGCCCATTTTGATAATTTGAATATTTTTTCACCATCCAAGTTTTTTGCACAAAATTGATTTGATCACATAGGTATCGATATCCGATCAATATGATTTTCTATAAACATATAGTACTCAACGAGTTCTACACATTGAGCTTTTCAGATTATTGAAATGGGACTTATAGTGGATCTCCAATCAGATCACGGACTGGAGGGAAGCACAACCCTAAAAAATTTATTCAAAAATAATAATTAATGGTTCATATTTATTATGGGTGTGATCAAGATCTCATTAATTTTAAATTTACACTGCACAAACTTTCAAGATAATATTCAGAGTAAATTTTTTTAATCCAAAGCATTTTTGTTACCCTATTGAACATTATTTCCAAGATATCTCTCCGATCCCAGTTTAATTGGGCTCGAACTACCTCGTGAAAACAAATTTGGTTGACAATGCTGAAATTAATCCCTAAAAATTCTGAAATTAACCATAGGACAATGCTCATATTTGATTGACAATGCTCATATTTGATTGACAATGCTTAAAAATCAAAACTCACCACTTAGATTTAAGTTGCAAATTATTGAAAATTCTAAAAACAAGTGACAGACTGACCACTGTTAGGATTAGTCCACCCATGTGATAAAGGTGGGTCTCATATAATTATTAGGTTGGTTTATACAAGTATTTGAGTTAGGATAGTAAAGTCCGAAATCTATTAAGAAACCTAATATGTGTACGATTTTGGTTAGCTAATTGTATAGAACCAAAACTCTCATAGATAGACTACTATAAATAGTCATATGGACTATAAGATTTTTCAACAGAGATTGAGATGAGAGAAAAAATAGAGATGTAAGTGTGAAAGCAAAAATACCATGGGCACTAGGGTCAGGAAGGGCTCAACTACCTTTGAGCATGGAATTCAAATAGTGGCGTAGATTTTGAGTATTTTGGTCATCTTATATGCATACTCTATTTTATTCATAGTGGAAACTCTCTCATGTGAATGTAGGTAATTTGGACCGAATCACGTAAATCTGTGTGTGATTATTTTTCTTTTTAGCGTGTGCGTGGATGTGCTTCCATTTGCATATTTGCGTTAGTGGGATGTGGTATAAATCCAACAATTGCAACAAAATTGAAAATATAAGATTTAAATCGTTCAAATTGAAATTATGAGAATCAAAAAAAAAATTCGTTCAAATTAAAAGGACCAACCGTGTAATTTAGGCTAATTTTTTGATGACACATAAACCTCGAAGGCCGGGTCCTTTGGACCCGACCCTGTAAACCAACCTGAGAAAGATGTCAAAAAAACCACCCCCCACCTCCCAATTTCAGTCAAAGGTCATAAGGAGGCTGGTAGAGGTTTTGCCATCTCAACCAACCCTTGGGTTGTCTCAAAGAAAGATATTATTGGGAGAATGCAACCAACCACACAGAATAACTGCTCTTCGTAGTGCAAAGCCTAAATGATGATGGATCTTCCACATCCTCCAAAGGTTAGAGTAGTCCTTGCTGACCTAAATGACAAAATATCATTTTATCAATTTTTTTTTTTTTGGTAATATAAAGAATAATTTCTCAAATTAAGATTTTCCAAAAACAGTATTATTAGAAGTTGGGTAAGGAAATGACTGCATGATTTTGTTGTTTAATTATTTGGTAGGTTTTCTTTGGTTCTTCTGCTCTCACTCTGCTAATGTTGGAGCCAGAGTCTTTTGCTTTGTTCCTCTCTGTTCATCCATCTGTTAGTTAAAACTCCACAATAAGACTGGCATACATATATAACAACTATACAAGTAATATAATTAACATATTAGGTACTACCTACACCTAAGAAGCACGGATATGGGCACGTGTATAGATATGGGATTATGATTTAAAAAAAATTAGAGTTCATAGACACGGCGAGAATACCCAATATATATACATATATTGTTTTCCCTATGTGTATGGATACAAATTTGAGGCATAGAGATATAAGAGGTATTAATGTATATGTGAATGTATTCTTATTTTATTTTTTTCCTCTTTGTTTTCATGTATTTTACTTTGACTCAAATCATCTTTCTAAAATCATTATAAAAGAAAATTATTCATAAAGGTATCCTAAGGCATGTCTAAGGTATCTTAAAAAAATTGACACGCCATGTAACGTTGTAGACATGCACATCTGTGATGTGTTGGTGTTCGAAAAGTGTCAAACACAAACACGACACTCATTTTAGAGTGTTCATGCTTTCTAGATAACTAGTTATGTTGGTATCCTATGCAATCAACTTGTTGAGTGGGATCCATTTTTTTACTAGTTTAGATTATAAAAATCTGTGCCACAAGGTCATACTTACATCATACATGTGTAGTGCTATATTGTAACATTGCACCAGAAAGTGTTTCTTTTACTTTTGTTCTTCCAAGTTCCAATGAAGGGACAACAATACAAACAGTGCTCTATAAATAGAAAGAGAGCTCTGCCAAAGTGCATTGCAAAAAGAAAGAGCAAATGGCATTCCCAAGATCTATTACCCTTTATCTCCTCGTATCATTTGTTCTCTTCTCTTCATTGTTGCATAGACCCACCTTTGCCATAAAAAAGGTAAGCACTTACATACTGTTTGAATCACTAGAACGAAGATGGAATGGTTATTCTTTAGCTTTCCTACGGATATTCTGACAAAATGATCATTCTATTTCACCTTCATTTCAATAAACCAAACACTGCCTTATATGTTGGGTATTTCAGGTTTGCTTCAATATAATTTGTTTCTTGTGTATGGTGTAGTCATATGTGGTGTACCTTGGAGCTCATTCACATGGCCCACAAGTCTCATCCATTGATTTAGATCAAGTAACAGAGTCACATTATGAGTTCTTGGCTTCCTTCTTGGGAAGGTAGTGAATTACATGTTTTTTTGTTTCTTGAATCAATATGTTAGCTTCTTGATATGCCTGAACTTGCCTCTCATACATAGGGATGAGGCAAAAGATGCCATATTTTACTCCTACACAAGGCACATCAATGGCTTTGCTGCGACACTTGAAGATGAAGAAGCAGCCCAGATAGCTAGTAAGCATTTCTTGCTGATTCTAATGCGTTTTTCTTTCCGCCTCTTAATGGTTGGGTCGGTTTAGTGCAGTTTCTTACAAACTAAAAACTGGTAATAAAAAAGAAGAAGTTAAAGAACTGCTCAAACGGTTTTCCAATAATAAGCTTTTGTCAGCTTCTTTAAGCTATTTTTGTCTCGCAAAACTTCACCAAACAATTTGACATAGACTCCAAAAAAAAAAAAGAGGAAACTATAAGCAATTCGTAGAAGTTGCACCAAACAATGCCGCTAACTTCTTTTCATGTCCTAATCATGGTGATAATTCTCATGAAATGCAGAGCATCCTAAGGTAATCTCAGTGTTCTTGAACATGGGAAGAAAATTACACACAACCAGGTCATGGGAATTCTTGGGCCTTGAGGATAATGGTGTCATACATTCCAGCTCAATTTGGAAGAAGGCGCGATTCGGCGAAGATACTATCATAGCCAACCTTGATACTGGTTGCCACTCTCTCCCCACTCTTAATTTGAATTCCAATATGATCACAAATCTTACTATCAAATTTGAGTTCATTTCACCAAGCCAACTTAGATCCTAGATATGTTTTAGTGCATAATAATAGTTTAAATTTTCTAATTTTTTCTTCAATTTTCTTGCTTAGAAATTGTTGTAGATCTGCATTACTCTTCCTATAGTTGTTTAATAACTGGATAGTTGACCATATGTAAGCTTTATGTTCATCCTAGATAACATTTACGCTGTGTTTGGTTGGGGGATTTGGAAATAGATTTGGAAAGGGAAATGGAAAAGGTAGGTGAAATGTGAATAAAATATGTATATATTTCACATAGTTATAGTTGTTTAATAACTGGATAGTTGACCATATGTAAGCTTTATGTTCATCCTAGATAACATTTAGTGTTAATGAACTCTGGTGAATTAACTAAGCTCTGGTATTGAATTTTCATCTTTCCCAATCTCATTGATGTTTCATATATATGACAAAGCTTCATTTAATAGAACTTGTCCTGTCACCAAGCAATGTTTGACCATCAGCAAAAGCTATTCTATGAATTCAGAAAGGTACATACATGCATGCATTTGACTAGTTTAAAGTTCTTTTTTAAGGTTCTTGCAATGATTTTTCTGCACACCAGTAAGTCTAAGAACACAAAAACTGGTCACAAAATTAGACACATGTTGTATATGGATGGACAATATTTTTTAGAAGTGGATCTCACCAATAAACAAATTCTATATAATTTTATCCACTCGTGTATTTTGTGTTGAGTTTCTACATTCGTAACAGAACTGTCCAGCAAATATTGAATATGCCTAGCATGTTTAAGTGGCTCATCTAGGAAGATCGAATTGAACTACGTTCCACATCTGTTGTGAGCCTTTTTTAGGTGGGTGAGTAAATAAGGTCATGCACCTCGTTCAATGTTAGACTAGTTCTTTTGGGGAGGGTTGGGGGGGGTTTAGAAGTGGATCCCACCAATAAATTATGTAAAATCTTATTTGTTCTTAATATGTCTAGTTTTTGTGTTCATAACAGAACTGCCAAAAAATATTGGGTGTGCCTAGCATGTGTAAGTGGCTTATCTAGGAACATCGGACTGAACTACCTTCCTCATCCGCTGTGAGCCTTTTTTATGTGTGGAGTCGATAAGGTCTTCCACCTCTTCCTCATATAACAATCCCTTAAAAGTGATGATGAAATTGATGATTTTAGTTTTTTCAGTGGAGAGAGAGAGAGAGAGAGAACATATATACATGAGAAAGGGAATGGATTCTCTCTAGTTAGGCATCCAATTAGAGAAGGTTTTGTCAGGTCTTAATAGACCCATCTTGGAGCTCATCTTGATGATCCAAACTATTCATCTTATGGGGCCTATTGAGCAAGGTATTTATGCAAAAAATCAAGATGATCATATATTGATAGCTATATGATTGAATCACATTTGTCTTTGAAAAAATGAGTAGTATATTCTCCAAATCACACCTACGACCCATTTTCAGTAAGGCAAATGTGATCAAATCATGTCTTAAATGATATTTTGACATTTGTCTTAAAAATAAATAGACAGTCTGTTGCACCATTTTTAATTTTCTATTGCTATGATCTTTGAGTTTCTGTGCACTCACCTTTCATCGATGTGATCAAGCCAGGTGTGTGGCCTGAATCAAAGAGTTTTAGTGACGAAGAAATGGGACCAATTCCATCAAAGTGGAAAGGAATCTGTCAAAATGAGGCAGATCCTGGCTTCCATTGTAACAGGTTAGAGACACCCCCCCCCCCAAAAAAAAAAAAAATTTCTCTATACACAATATCTCTTGTTAATACACTCTTTGAAGGTGATGTTCATGGAGATAATTCAAGGATTTTATGAAAGGATTTAGTGTTCTATATTTCTTGTTTATACCAGACATTGTCCAATTATTGTACGAAACAATGAGAACTTCTTCAGTTAAATGGCTCTCGTGAGATTGATTTGGTAGCTATGCTTAGGCCAAAGCAACTTCAGTACTGTCATTGTTTGAATCATCTGGTACAGGACCACCAAGCTATTGCCTTAACAACTAAATTGCACAAGAAAAATAATTGACAAATAGAATTTTTATACATAAATCATCATAAATTGCATACAAAAGAATTCTCTCTGTCATTCAATTTCAATTAGTTTCCACCTAAGAGGGTTGGAATAGCCTATTGTGACTTGCTTGTCAAGGGTTCGAAACACATAAATAATATTTTGACAGCAAGGGTAAGGTTGTGTACTTTTGACCCTCCCATACCTTGCATTGACATGACAAGAGTCTTATGCACGGGACATGACCTATTTTTTGGTTAGTTCCATTCTTGGTTACCTAATCTTAATGAATTTATCAGCTATCTGATAATCATATTCAAAAGGTCAAGAGTAAAAAAGCTTCAGATCAAATGGGTTCATCACCCCTGTGCTTAGCATACTTCTAATGTCTTAGAAAGTGCTTTCATGTTTACTTGGTATTCTCACTGGCCTCTGACTTCTATTATCTATCCATTCTTTGCCTAAATTCTAAAGGAAACTGATTGGAGCAAGATACTTCAACAAAGGCTATGCTGCAGCTGCAGGCCCTCTCAGCCCTTCCTTAAACTCCCCGCGTGACAAAGAAGGCCATGGGTCCCACACCCTGTCAACAGCTGGCGGTAACTTCGTAGCAGGAGCCAATGTATTTGGGTATGGAAAGGGTACAGCGAAAGGCGGATCCCCAAAAGCCCGTGTGGCTGCTTATAAGGTCTGCTGGCCCCCAGTGGCTAGGAATGAGTGTTTTGATGCGGACATACTGGCTGCCTTTGATTTTGTCATCCATGATGGTGTTGATGTGCTTTCTGTGTCGTTAGGAGGGGACCATGTCCCCTTCTTCAATGACAGTCTAGCCATCGGCTCTTTTCATGCTGTTAAGCATGGCATTGTGGTGGTTAACTCAGCTGGAAATTCCGGTCCCAATGATGGTACTGTTTTGAACCTTGCACCTTGGCAGATTACAGTTGGAGCTAGCACAATGGACCGACAGTTTCCTAGTTATGTTGTTCTTGGAAACAAAATGAGATTCAAAGTTAGCATTCAATCATCCTATTCCTCTTGTTTGGTACTTGTGTTGCTTTTTTGTATGTTTTCCAAAATGTACTTAAGGTTTCAAAAAATTTCAAGTACATGCCTTAGGGTGGCCTTAGCATAGCGGTAAGGTTGTTCTATTGAACCTGGGTATTATGGGTTCGAAGCACAAAAATAGCCTCTCCAATGGGAGGTAAGACTCACCATTTCCTGACCCTGCAATGGCAGGGTACTCTGGGCTGCCTGCCCTTTTATGAGTTGTGTGATAAGGATGGTTGACTAGACAAGGTAATCTCTGAGGCCAATATAGGTGCAAAAACATATGTACTAGTTATTCTCTATTTGGTTGATGAGAAAATGTTGAACTGACTTGCTACAAAATAGGAAGGGAAAAAGAATAGGTAGAACTACTTGTTGGAGTTGTCATTCCCCCACTGTTCTCTACGTAGAACCAGGTCTGGATTGTTGATGTTTTGTTTTGAAATTGCTGGAATGTGTCAAGATTGCTTTTAAGTTTGTAATTCAACTTCAAATTACATGTATAAATACTCAAGTTTAGGAATTTTGTTCTTTGAAGGGAGAGAGTATTTCATCTAAAGCATTGCTGAAGAACAAGTTCTTTCCAATTATTAGCGCTGCAGATGCCAAAACTTCCAACTCATCAGCTGGAGATGCGTAAGGATAAAAAATTGGTGCTATGTTTGGATTTTCAATTTACAGAGAGAAAAGAAGGAAACTGAAAAAGAAAATGCAATCAAAGAAGCTATATTTGATAATGCAATTTTGGATATTTTGTTTGATTCATTTAGGCTGCTCTGTAAGGCTGGAACATTGGATCCCAAAAAGGCGAAAGGAAAAATCATGGTTTGCCTTAGAGGGGACAATGCAAGAATCGACAAAGGTCAACAAGCTGCGTTGGCTGGTGCTGTGGGGATGGTTCTTGCCAACGACGAGTTTTATTGGAACGAAATAACTGCTGATCCTCATGTCCTTCCGGCTTCACAAATCAATTCCACCGATGGTGTTGCTATCTTCGCTTACATCAATTCTACAAGGTAAAGACCGATTGATATGGAAACAATTCATGAACTTATCTATCATCTTCTCTAAGAATTTGAATATTTTTAACAGGTTTCCAAAGGCTTACATTACGCATCCAACAACCGAGTTGGCCACAAAGCCAGCTCCATTCATGGCGGCTTTTTCATCGAAGGGGCCAAACACCATTACCCCGGAGATCTTAAAGGTTCTCCTCACAATCTTAACAAAATTTTATCATTCCTCATATTACATAAATACTACAGACACAATTTTTTTACAGAAAAGTGCGAGGATGAATGCAATATTGCTAGCACTACATTCTGTTTACTTTTCTATTATTTATTTATTTATTTATTTGTATATTCCTATTTGTACTGTTCTTATTAAGGTTTAGTAATTATTGTTGTCTGTACAGCCCGATATCACTGCACCTGGACTGAGTGTCATAGCTGCCTACACTGAAGCACAGGGACCGACGAATGAAAATTTTGATGAACGTCGAGTTCTATTTAATTTAGTATCAGGCACTTCAATGTCATGTCCTCATGTTTCTGGCATTGTTGGACTTCTCAAGACCCTCTATCCTAAATGGAGTCCTGCAGCTATTAAATCGGCAATCATGACAACTGGTGAGAATAAATTACCCCTGCAAATTATTCAACTTCTAACTTGTTCTCTGCATAAATAAATAAATAAATAAAAGGGCGACTCAGTGCACAAGACTTCTACTAAAGTAGAATATGGAAGAACAAAATTAGTTTTCAAATATCAGTATTGTAGTAATTTTAGGATTGTCTAAAATAATTCTCGGATCTTTTCTATTCCATCCTTAAATTTTACAGCGACAACACAAGACAACATCAATGAGCCAATAACCAACACATCCTACAAGAAGGCAACTCCATTCGATTATGGTGCGGGACACGTGCAGCCAAACCGCGCTATTGATCCAGGTCTTGTTTATGATACAACCGTCAACGATTACCTCAACTTTCTCTGTGCTCTTGGGTACAATGAAACCCAGATCATATTGTTCTCAGAGCACAACCATACATGTCCCAAGCCCATTTTCAGTCTTGTCAATTTCAACTACCCTTCAATCACAGTGCCTAAGCTCAACTGCTCTATCACGGTGACACGAACTGTCAAGAATGTTGGTTCTCCGGGGACTTACAGTGCACGAGTTCAAAATCCGACTGGTGTTGCCATTACTGTCAAGCCAGAAAGACTGAAGTTTGAAAAGGTTGGGGAAGAGAAAACTTTCAAGGTTACTATGAAGGTTGAAGAAGCAGCAGCCAAGAAAGCTAGAGACTATTATGTGTTTGGACAGTTGACATGGTCAGATGGGAAACACAATGTGAGGAGTCCTATTGTGGTGAAGGCAATCTAAAGAATGAAAAACTACTTAGAATTAAATTGAGAGTTTGATTTATACTTCATTTAAATTAAATGGGTAATTTTACTTTAATATATAGATCTACAATAATGGCTGCCTAAGACATTTTCAAGTAATAAGTCATTTTCATATCCAATTGATGCCCAAAAGTCCTAATCGTCACCAGTCTAGTTTTGTGCTTGGACTGGTCCAATCCAGTGTTTTGGGCTCACATCAAGCCGTTAAGATGATTCAAATCATTCATTTCTAACTCTTTGGGTATAAGATTATTTATTAAAAAATAAATAAAAATCAAATTGAGCTATATTTCTAATCATATGATTTTATCATATTTTTGTCTTTGAAAAAATTTATGAAATATTTTTTTAAAATTATACTTTTTTTTTAAATAATAAATATGTCAAAATAATAGTCATAATTATTTGAACATTTTGATTTTTTATTTTTATTTTTTGTTTTTTGTTTTTATCTCTTTTGTGTGTGAATGATCCAAAAACAACACACGTGAAGGTCTAAAAATAAATAAAATAGTGACGATGCAGATCAACTTAATGGTCATGTTGTGAGCTTTAAAAGGCTGACCTAGACCGATCCAGTCAAGGAGAGAAGTTCCCATTGTACGGAGAATAGGTCAGGTACACTACGTTATCATGCTGATGTGGTATGCCTAACCAGTGAAGTTTTAAGAAATGTGATAGTCATTGACAAAATTGCTATAATTACTCCATGTATTATGACTTTTTTCCGCCATGTATTGTTCACTAGCACACTACGCTCACGTAGAATTCCTAACCCATGGAATAACTTCTCCATTTACTAGTTCAAATCTGTCTAAACCATCCTTGTTTTTTCTTCTAAATTCTTGTGTTTTCATTGTCACCTCAAATCCACATAATAGTTAGACGAATTGAGAAATTTTTATTTATTAATAAGAAAACATTAAAATTACAACTCAAAGAAGAAGAAGAATTTCCATGTAACATGGAAATGAATCGCCAAAACGCCTCTATCATCAATGAATCTCGGCAACAAGTCAGTCCGGTTTGAATGCAGATTTTTCACTGTAAAACCGAGAGAGAGGATCAAATATTGGAACAATGTTCCACATTTAGCACTAAACCTCTCTCAAATTCCACGTAAGGATACGCAAGGGGTCGGTCTCCATCTTCGGTTTTCCATCTACAAAATTAATTCAGTAATTCCTTACAATTATCATAATGATTTCAAAAATGTCATTCAAAGTAGTATCAGCTTCGTTAAAAGGTTCTTCGGATCCTGTGTCTTAATTTTCTGTCCCAAAACAAAATGGTTAAATAAGAGAGGTTTTTTTTTTTTTTTTTTTTTTTTTTTTTTTTCATTTTTTCAATAACAAGGGGCTTTCAATTTATTTTCTAAACTCAATACGGTTTCATGAAATTAAACACAACTTTCAACAAACAACTTGAATTTGGAAGATCAATTGAAAACAACTTGTGATTGAGAAATAAGAATCTAAACCACTCGAGTTTGATAAATAACTCAATTAAGTAATGAAATGAAAATTGATTTGCATTTATGCAATTGACCAAAAAAAAAGAACAAGAAAATGAGAATACCTGAATTTTTGAACAAGGTGGTGGAGGAAGAATGCAACCTCTACCTTAGCAAGTTCAGATCCTGGACAACATCTTGACCCTCCACCATAAGCGATAAATTTCTTGCATGATTGATCTTCATGCTGAACATGTTTACAAAAAAAAAAATGTCCCATAATTAATCTACGAGAAATTAAAAATATTTTAAACCACACAAGCTAATTCTAAGTTTCATGGTCAAAAAATTGTCCTTAAAAAAAAACGGTACCTTTTGTCACTAATGCCCTCTCAAAATTTTCAAAAAAATTTCACCTTAAAATTTTCAAAACAATAATATTATAAGTGTAGATTCCACTTTTGACCCCTATAGTTTGAATTAAATTTCATTTTGGTCCTTCACTTTCAGTCCAATTTTAATTTGGTCCTTCCATCAAATTCCTTGTTAATTTTTCTCCTTGTATACCTTCAGATATTGACAAGTGTCTAATTTTAACATCCAACTTGAACATAAAGACCAAAATTGAAACTACACTAAAAATGTAAGGACCAAATAGGAATCAAAATGAAATTTAAATAAGATTATAGAGATGAAAAGTGTAATTTATACATATTATAATAAATACCTCCCATCTCCAAGGATAAAACTGAAGAGCATCAGCATGAAGAGATGGGTCCAAGTGAACTGCACTCAGTACTGGTAGGACCTTCCAACCACATGGTATTATGTAATCTGCAACAACAACAACAACAACAACAACAATAAAATAAAATACTATATTTACTTATTTATTTGTATTAAAGGTGTGGTGATCTTTCTTAGTACAGATAATAAAGGTACACACCTAATATAAAAATCTATTTGTTTATTTATGATTAAAGCATTTCCTTATTATTTATTTGTTTTGATCAATATAAAGGTGGATATAAACAAACCTTTAAATTTCACATCTTTGAGAGCCTTTCGATGCACAAATTTCACAACATTCCCATATCTGAGGGCTTCACTAATCACCTGCAATCACAGCAACAACAAAAAATTTATAAAAAAAAAAAAATACTAAATTATATAATCATTACAAAAATAATGGAATATCGAAAATAAGAAAACGAAAACACAACTAAACAGGGCTTACATTTTGGGTAAATTCCATTTTTCTGTAATCTTCCCAATTCAAAAATTCATCTTCCTTCTTTGAGCTTCTTATGTTCTGATGCTCTACCTATAATTAACAAAATAAAAAAAAAAAAAGATGTAGAAGATGTTGGGAAAATTGGTAGCCCACAAACAAGCAGCAACACAGCCTAATCTGTCGAGAAGAAACTCTAAAGTCCACATCGATTGAAAACACAAATTGTAACATAAAATATATATATATACATATATATATGATAATTATAAGATTAAATTACATTGAGCTCCCTTGAGATTTCAAAAAAATACAATAAAGTCCACAATTTTGACATATTATATTGACTTTTTTTTTAGGAGGCTAAAGGAATCGAAATTAATGCAAATGGTGTAAAGACATAAAGACAAATAAGAAAAAATATACATTTCAATGTAAAAGAGATAACAATATCATTTTCCTATCCATATGACTAACAAACTATTGATGAAAATGGAGCTAAGTGTTATGTGAATTAAAACATTAAGATTGTGTTTGGATCATGAATTTAGATAGAGATGTGAAAAAAAAATGAAAAAGGGGGTGGAATGTAAATGAAGTATAGCTACATTCATTCACATTTCACCTATCTTTTTCATTTTCATTTCCATTTCCATTTCTACATCCCTACTCAAATCAATGATCCAAGCACAGGCTAAAAAAACTCAATGTAATTATGCTAAATTGTGGGGACTTTTACGGTATTTTCTCGAAATCTCAGGGGAGTTTAGTGTAATTTATCCTAATTATAATGTTATTGCTTTTGATTAATTTGAAGTACATTTGAGAAAGGGTCCACACCTTTAACTGTTCAAAAGCAATAGGTGATTGACCAAGGAAATGCACCACCAAGGCCATCAAAACAGAGGTAGTTTCATAGCCTCCCAAAAGAGAGTCCAAAACAAAGCTAACTTTTTCATCTTCAGATAAGGAATCAACACACAAAAGTGTCTCAAGGAAATCACTTCTGTTATTGGATTTTCCAGCATTCTTTCTTCTTTCCTCTATGATTGCTTTGATAGTGGATGATATTCTTCTTCTAGCCTGTAAAGATGCCATCAAAAGAAGTTGATCACATGACCTGACCCCCTTTTTTGCACTTCAAAAGAAGAAAAGCCGTCTCAAATTCTTTAAAGAATTACACTTAACACCCTTATATTTTACATAAATCTCACTTGGCCACTTTTTACTTTCATCTTTGTTCAAGTTATAATGGGAATATTTGGTATAACTTTTATCAAGCTGAAAGTTGATAATTCAGAAGCTAAAACTACATCTCTCCAATCGTCTACATAATCAATTTTTTCAACATATTTAAGTTATTTTTATTTCGTAAGTTGTAAACAGAAGTTACACTCTGGCACAAACTCCAAAAATAGATAAAAGAAAAACTATAAGCAACCCTGTAATAAATTGCACCAAAGGGCTAATGTTTGTTTAAGAAGTTGACAGAAAATAGCCATGTGAAGATCATATGCAGTTGCTACACTGCTATTTTTAGTCAATATCTTAAACTATTGACTCCCATGTGTGATGGCATTGTAATTAACTTGACCAGAAATGTAGGTTTGATTGTCACAATTGAAAGTACAAAGGCTCATGGAAGAATTTAGTGTAAAGTGTAAGGGCATTGAGTGTAATTAATCTCAAACTATTTAAACCAAGCATGGTGTGGTGTTTAAGAGGGGTAAAGAAAACATATTACTCAAGGGAAGAAGTGAATTACCTTTACTGCTCTTGCATATGCAGTCCCTGGAATATTGAGTGGTAAAGAAATCAATCCTTTCATGAAAGTTCGGAAATCTTCAAGAATTTTTGTAGTCTCTGGCTCATCTGATGTCAAACCTAGGACCTGTTTTACTATTACATTGAAAGTAAACTATGGCATACAATTCACAAAACAAAAAAAAAAACAAAAAAACAAAAAAACAAAAATCATATAAGATGGTTAGATGCTTTGATATAACTGTCAGAAAATTGACTCAACAATAACACCCCTCACACTATTCAAAAAAACAATAACACCCCTCACATGCTTAGGACTTCCTAGGACTTAGAGTTCTGATACCATGTAAAATCTAAATGTCCCAAAAATTATTGAGGAAGGGATATGAAAATTGAAAGGAACAAGATGTGTGAAACTAGATAAAATATAAGTATATTTATTCATATTTTATCTACTTTTTTTCTTTCTCTTTCCAAATCCCTTCCCAAATCTCTCAAGCAAATATAACAATAGCATAATTACCCTAACGTCCTTTTTAATAGTACTAAATCGCCCAAAATTAATACAAATGGTGTGTAAACACATAAACAAATAAAGTAAAAATTATGAAAATACCATTTCTTTCATCCATATGACTAGTGAATTATGTCAGACTTGTGGGTTCAATTTCAATGTATTTTCTCTAAAACTCAATTGATGTAAGTGCAATCTACACCAAAAAAGATTGTGTTCTTTTTGTGGTTGTGTGGTAGAATTACCTTTCTAGCCTCATCACAAAAGATGACTTGTGGTCTATCTTTCCAAGAATCCAAAATCTGAATGGTTGTCTTCTCTATGTCCTTAAGAAACTCTGGCTTTGATTTCATGGTGGTGACTAGTGAGAGAGCCACATTCCTAAGCCTCTTGTGAATGTCACCCACTGCAACCAGCATTGATATGTCTCCAAGAATTCCATGGATGGGCTTTGGATAGCTACACTGAAACAACTTGTCTTCATTTTGTAGTATGAAGTAGTTCAATTCTTGGTCACATGACACCACTGTGGGTGAGAAGAACAGATGGGACTTGAACACTTTCCCATACCTGAAAAAAAAATAAATAAATAAAAAAATAAAAATCCCAAAACCATTGCCAGCTTTTTAGATACACGATATGTATATACACCAGCAATGGGCACAAATGCGACACAATTTGATTTCTGAAGCAGTTAATATTATGGGTATTTTTTGGGAGAAAAAAAAAGGCCCTTACAAAGCTTCAAAACCTTTGTGTTTTATGGGGCAATTTGAGAAGATTAGCCTTTTTTAGATTTTTTTTTTTTTTTTTTTTTTTTTGAACACAACCTCTAATTTTTTACAACCAAAAAAAAAAAAAAACAACAACAACAACAACTAGCAAAAAAAGAGTAAAAAAAATCAACTTTTTACCATCATCCTAGACCACCACTATGTAATAAGGGAAAAGTTAGGGATCATGAAAATTTTTTCATGAAAATGATCATGAAAGATTTGTGATCTTTGGATTACCTTGATTAGTATGTGGTGCTTTATTCTAAGTGTAATCCAAGGGTCACAAAACTTTCATGATTATTTTCATGAAAGGTTTTTCACGATACCTAACATTGCTGATATAATAATATAGATATATCCCAAACACATCGCCAAGGATCGTCTGTCACTAATGCTTTCGTCTTGTGAATGAAAACACTCACAACCAGTGAGTTACGTGAAAATTTTTAAGCACGAGAACTTTTAAACATAATTTAATAATTATGCATGTTTTAAGATGAGAAACATATTCCTCTTCTGTCTCAAAACTCAAAACTCTCGCAATCAGTAAATTAAACAATTGTGACAGAGATCCCACGTATACATGATCTCCACAACTCTAACTCTCATTCCAACCATTCATAATAAAAGGTCCACACATACATAAGTGATCCCCGCATATCAAGGACCAAGATCAAATTGTAGGTCATGAAACTCCACAAAAAAGATTCAAACATTTCTAGTAAATTAAATTAAGTGAAAATTTCAAGTTACGAGAATCTAAAATCATAATCTAATAATTAAAAATATTTTAAATAGAGAAACAGATCATCTTATCTCAAAACAACTAGCGAATCATATGAAAATTTTGAGTCACGAGTTTCTCCGGACATACTTCAATAATCATGAATATTTTGAGACAGGAGGACAAAATATCATGTTGTACTACTAGTACAAAACTAAAGAGCTTTTCATAAACAATGAACAGTATGGTTATAAAAAAAAAAAACAATCTGACAACAGTTATGGTGTTTGAAAAAAAACATATATATGAAAGTGATGTTACTTACCTGGAACAATGATCTTGAAGAAAGTTCCCAACAGAGTTAGAAGGGTGAGGCTTGAGAAAAGCAAGGGTTTCACCAAGTAAAGGCCACCCAAAAGACCCTTTTGGGACTAGACCAAGCTTCAAGAACAATGGCAGAAAATGGTTCAACACAAATCCAACTGAACCAACCAACATGGCTAACCAAAAACCTCCAACAGCCATGGACATTGCAAAGGATTTGTTTGGATGATTTTCTATCAGATTTTTTTGTTCTAAAAGGAGATGAAAGGGATTGAAGCTTTTTTATAGGCACAAAATGGTTAGCTAGCTTCTGTGCCTTTATATAGAAAGATGATATATACATATATAATGTTTTTATTATGGATAAATTACATTGAATTCCCATGAGACTCGAAGAGAATATAAAAAATTATACATTTTAACATAATTATACTAATTTTTTTCTAATAAGATTTAAAATATCAAACTAATATATATAATGGTCCCGTTGGGTAGAGCTGTAGAAAAATGATTATACATTATAACTTAACAAATTATACTTTATAGATGTGAACATAAGCTGCTAACCTGTTTGGTACAGCTGTGGGATTATGGATTTAAGTAGCAAAATAGTGTTTTGTTAATAAGCTGTAAAATAACTTCTTACTGTATAATTGTCCTTTCTGTCCTTATATGATATAAAAATAATTATTTTGTCATTATTTTCAGTTTTAATTTTAAAAAAAATATTTTATTAATAAAAGTTGATATAATTAGTATTAATTAGTATCAATTAATACAAAATTGATACATTTACTAAAAATGTAATGGAAATATTATTGTCACAATTATTTTCCATTATAAATTAATTAGTATCAATTAATTACTTAATTAGTATCAATTAATACTAAAATTAGTAATTAGTATCAATTAATGGCTTAATTAGTATCAATTAATACTAAAATTATTAATTAGTATCAATTAATGGCTTAATTAGTTCAATTAATGGCTTAATTAGTTTCAATTAATATTAAAATTATTAATTAGTATAAATTAATATTAATATTTAATTTTTATTAGTATCAATTAATATTAATAACCAACAATTGTTATTAATTAGCATCAATTAATAATTAATTCATTACAAAAGTATACAATATTAATTTATTAATAATTAATGCCAATTAATATTGATTTTTTAATTAATATTGATTTTTTTCTTTTTCTTCAGAAATATAAAATTTTTTATTTTTTAATTAATATAAAAATATACAATATGAATTTATTAATAATTAGTATCAATTAATATTTATTTTTCAATTAATATTGATTTTTTTCTTTTTCTTCAGAAATATACAATTTTTTATTTTTTAATTAATATTAATATTTGGGAATTGACGAGGGCATTTAAGTAATTTTAACCCCCCACACTAGCTATGCACTTAAGTCTAAAATTTAAGCACCCCCTAACTAGCTTTTGAGATAAGCTGAGAAATAACTTGATTTAAGCTATAAGCTGGTTAATTTAAGATGCACCAAACACAATTTTTAGCTTAAATTAAGCTAAAAGCTTAAATAAACAGTTTATAAGCTCTACCAAACAGGCCTAATATGAACATACAAATATAAACTAAGATCTCGTTTGGGAACAGGTTAACTTAGTAATTTTTTGATTATTTAGCTAAAATATAAGCTAAAAAAAATTAGTGGCCTTGTTTGGTTTGTGATTCCCAAAAATTTTTGGGAAAAATTCTCTACAAATAAGTTTTCAAAAGTAATCAAATCAAACAAATTTTCCCAAAAAAATTTCCCAAAACTTGTTTAGTTTACAAGTTTTTCAAACAAATCTCTCTCTCATACACATCAAATCAATCACTTTTTCCAAAACTCTCTCTCAAAATAATTTTTCAAAACATCTTTTGAAAAAAACCTAACCAAACAACTTTTCATACTTTTTATCTCTAAAATTCATCTCTCAAACTCAAACCAAATTCATCTATTACATTTCGTACTTTTTATCTCTAAAATTTTTGAGATAATTTTTTAACTTTTTACGAAAAGATGTGCAAAAAGTAGAGAAAGAATAAAATCTTGGCTTGTTTGGTTTGTGTTTGTAGAGTAGTTTTTGAGATAAAAAATATGAAAACTTGTTTGGTTTGTCTTTTTTCAGAAATGGTTTTGAAAAATTGTTTTGGAGAGAGAGTTTTAAAAAAAGTGATTGATTTGATGTGTATAAGAGAGAGTGTGATTTTGAAAAGAAGCAAACCAAATAAAATTTTGAGATTTTTTTGAAAAAATTTGTTTGATTTGATTACTTTTAAAAACTTGTTTATAGAGAATTATTTTTCAAAAAATTTTCCCAAAAACAAACCAAACATGGCAAATTTGATTTTTTTAGTATGAGTTGGTTTTTTTGATTTTTTTAGTGACTTTTTAACTTTTTAACTAAAAAAACTACTTGCCCAACGAGGCCTAAGTAAAAGTATGTATTTTCATATAAAAGAGATAATAATATTATCTTTTTATTCATATGATTAATAAATTTATGATTGAAATGTAATAGATTATTATGTGAATTAAAATTTTAGGAGACTTTTGACTTTTTTTTTTTGAAAAATTTAGCTATAAACCTCATTTACCTTCTTTTTATTGTTAAAAGGACTAAAAAAAAAATTATACTTTCTAAACCCCCTCATAATTATAAAGTCTTTCCTAAATGACAAAATTTATTATTTAAATATTTTATATGACTATTATTCCCTTAACTAACTCTTCCTACTCTCTTCCCCACCCTCTTATACTTGATTGGTTCGAGTTAACCCACTGTTTTGCAGTCCTCATTATCAGAAAGGCGGTGGAATAAGAATCTGATTTTTCATGTTCATCGTTGTCAGGAACTTTTCATACTCGTCCAAATACGTAGGCCACTCCATGCTAAACTTTCTTTTTGCTTTTGATAATTTCTCGAGAAACAAACAAGCCAAATATACAAAGCACCAACCAGATCAAGAGCTTTATATATATATATATAGATACTTCCGAAATTGAACTTAAATAGACCTCGAAAGTATAATTCTCTCTTTTCCTTCTCTCTTCCATTCCTAGGGTTTGGATTGAATTCGTTCGGAGCTCTCGTGATTTCAACCAAAACTGTGAATATATCTCTATATATATATATATATATATATGTGTGTGTTTGTGTGTTTTGAGATTTGAATTGTTTGTGTATTTTGAGATTTGAATTCATACTATAATCTATATATATGTGTGTTTTGAGTCTTTAAGATCACAGATTTGAATTATTGCATAGATCGGTCTCGGCGATCATTTGATTCGAACTCAAAAGCTCAAAGATATAAAGTAAAATCTGAAAAATCTGTGTATGAAAAATCTCAAGATGTTTGAAAGCTCAAAGTTTCAAAAATCTGTAAAATCTGAAGAACTGGGGTATGAAAAATTGATGTTTCTCTAAAATTTTCAGATTATAGGCCTGATTCAAGGATTATAGGCATGATTCAATGTTTTTCAAAGTAAACATCGATTGATTCAAGGATTATAGGCCTGATTCAAGGATTATAGGCCTGATTCAAAGCTCATAGCTCAAAGTTCCATCGATTTTTCAGAGCAAATATCAAATTTCATTTGATAGAACCAGAGTAAAATTTTACTCTGGTTCTATTGCTCTGTTTTTTTCATTTGACAAAACCAGAGTAAAATTTTATTTTTATACAAAGTAAAATTTTACTTTTAACTTCAAAGTCTTACAGTTTACTTATTTTTCAGAGTAAAATTTTACTTTTATACAGAGTAAAATTTTACTTTGAAATACATAGTGAAAATGTCTTAATAGGAGAGCTGATAGATATGAGGGTAATATAGTAAAATAAACAAGTTTTAAAATATCAGGGGGTTTTGAAAGTACTTATATAATTCTTGTCCTTTTGAAAGAGAAATTAGATAGTGAGGGGGCTATGACCAAATCCCCTTTTTTTTTTTTGAAAAAATGTGTAAAAAATATGAGAGATAATGTGACTTAAAATAAATTAAAAATTGACATTTGACTACTAATACACTTCCCAAAAGAGCCCTAAATTTATAGAACTTATTGTATTTTTTTTAAAAAAAATTCAAAGACATGAGTGTGATGTATGTTTTTTTGTTATGGCTCCGTTTGACAAGGAGATTTGGGGTTATTTTAGCCACAAAAGATAAAATAGGCTATTTTAACCACAACAAACAAAACATCACATTTAATCCATAATCATTACACTCTTTTCTCACAAAAAAAGTTAAAAAAGTTAAAAAGTCAACCCACTTTCCAAACGGAGGCTAGGTTACATTGACATCCTTAAAATTTTCAAAAAATACAATAAATCACACAATTTTAACATAATTACAGTGGATTTTCTTAATTTTTAATGGGTAAATTACAAATATATCCTCTGAGATTTGCTTAAAGTACAGATTGTCCATGTAGTTTAGAAAATTACAAATACCTCCTTATTAGTATTTTTTATTTAACACAATTAACTAAAAAAATGAAATTTATAATTGTTCTCCTATACAATAATAAAATTAAATAAATTATTAATTAAAACATATTTCTAACATCATTAAAAACTGTTAATTGACTGGATGATAAATTAATAAAATGAGCAATTTATTAATAAAATGAGCAATTTATTATGAAATTAGAAATCTCAGGAGGTGAAATGTAATTTTCAAAACTACAGAGGTGATTCGTATTTTAATCAAACTTCAGAGATGTATTTGCAATTTATTCATTTTTAATTCATATAATATTTGTCCCTTTTTATCAATAACTTATTTAGTTATATAGATGAAAAAATAATAATATCATCTCTTTTATATTTATTTATATATATATATATTGTCTTTATACTATTTGTATTAATTTCAACCCCTTTAACCTAAGTGGGTGGTTAATGTAATTATATTCCAAAATTTGGGGCTGTGTGTAGTTTTCCAGGAATGTCATTGTAATTTACTCTTTTATTATTTATATTGAAGACGGAAAGGAAAGCAGGCTTTTATACTGTATTATTACGGTCTGTGAAATTTGAACTTTATTCTTATCAGATTTGTATAGGAAATGAAGGGTATGTTTGGTTTGAGTTTGAGAGATGAGTTTTAGAGATAAAAAGTACGAAAAGTTGTTTGGTTTGATTTTTTTCAAAAGATGTTTTGAAAAATTATTTTGAGAGAGAGTTTTGGAAAAAGTGATTGATTTGATGTGTATGAGAGAGAGATTTGTTTGGAAAATTTGTAAACCAAACAAGTTTTGAGAAATTTTTTTGGC